GAGGTTTGGGGCGGCTCTTGTCTCATTTGGTTACACACAAACTTAATCTGACCATACCTTGTTCTTGAAAAGAAGTGTCTCTCTGGTGACCTTTCTGATAGTTTATGTTGATGATATTGTGGTCACGGGTAATGACACCCAAGAGGTCAGTAAACTCAAAATATTTCTTAACTTTGAATTTGAAATCAAGGATTTAGGAGATCTCTGATATTTTTTTGGGCATTGAAGTTGCTAGATCTAAGGATGGTATCTTCATTTCTCAGTGCAAATATGTCCTTGACCTCCTTGCTGAGACTAGTAAACTTGGTGCTAAACCAGCCTCCACTCCTATTGATCCCAATCATAGGCTTTCTGTTGCAGATGATGAACTTTTATCCGATAGGGGAGTGTTTCAGAGACTGCTTGGGAAGTTGTTATATCTCTGAATGACTCGGCCGGACATTTCCTATGCAGTGAGTGTTATTAGTCAATTTATGCATTCTCCTAGAGATACTCATTTAGCTGCTGTAGAAAGAGTTTTGTGTTACTTGAAAGGTACTCTAGGGAAAGGTATTCTATTTTCCAAACATGGACACATGAAGCTGGAAGCATACATTGATGCTGATTGGGCAGGATGTATTGATGATAGGAGATCCACCTCGGGTTATTGTGCTTTGATGGCAGGGAACCTTGTTTCATGGAGGAGTAAGAAACAGTCTGTAGTTGCTAGATCCTCTATTGAAGTAGAATACAGGGCAATGGCACATGGTGTGTCAGAATTACTGTGGCTACGATCCCTTTTAGAAGAATTGGGGGTTGACTATGAGAAGCCAATGATAATCTACTATGACAACCAAGCAACTATCAATATTGCACATAATCCTGTTCAACATGATAGAACTAAGCACATTGAGGTTGATAGACATTTTATACGGGAAAGAGTTTCCTCAGGAGAAGTTTGTTTGCCATTCATCACCTCAGAAGAATAGTTGGCTAATATTTTGACCAAGGGAGTTCTGAGAGGGAAGTTGACACACTATATAAGCAAGCTGGGCATGATTGACATCTATGCTCAGCTTGAGGGGGAGTGTAAAGAGACTGAGCCAAATGGGCCCTAGTATCTTTTCTTGTAGTATGTTTTTTATTTATCTGTTAGCTAATGGCTAATGGGCCTATCTTAATGGGCCTGTTATTTCTTTTTTGCTAGTTCTCTTTATGTTATTGCCTAGCTGGCCGCCCACTTAAGGGTATACTTGTAATTATGCTAAGATTGAAGTTTAGTAAAAGGATTAGAGAAGGGAGGGAAGAGATATTCGAACTCTTCTTCTTCTTCCTCTTCTTTTCTCCGTCTTCTTTCTTTTGTGCTGCTGTTCTCTTCTTCTCTTCCTCTTTCTCTCTAATTTTTCCAAGTTTACATCAGTTTTAGAGGACTGATTTACATCTGGATCAACCACCTTGGGACGCAACATTGGCATCCATGTCGACACCACGTTGGCTGTGTTTTGGGAAATGCCAGGCCATTAGGGGAAGTGAGAATTTGTCACTTCCCCCAACGACACCAGGCACAAAAATCTAAGCATTTCCGTTTTTTCAATAAATTGATGAACCAAACATTGGTTCAAGGCTCAATAAACGCCCATGCCTAGTTGGTGCAGATGTGGCAGCGTTTTTCCAAGAAACGCCCATGGAACCAAACATGCATGTACATCTTCGCTCCTTGACCTGACCCATTTTCAGCTTTATGGGTCTGACCTGAATATGTCATGTTATTGGGTTTTCTCTTTTGTGTATCTTTTGGCTTGCGTGTGAAGATAAAGCAAATTTGGGAGTTAGAGCTCTGGTGTATTGGGGTTTAGGGTTTTCTATGTGAGAGGTTGCTCAACATTGTACACTTCATTGCTGTTTTCTATAGTGGATTTCTGCTCCTACACTTGTGGATATAGGCTATAAGCTAAATCATGCAAATCCCTTTGTGCTTTCTTGAGTTGCTTTGTTTTGCGTTTTCTACTCATTTTCTCTATTTGCCAATTGATTTCAGATCTTGGGTTGGTTTCTTTCTCAACAAGTTATTGAAATGAAATGCATAAACATGCCTTTAAGATGGGACATTTCTTTTAGTTATAGTGTGTATTCTAATGCTACAACAAAATTTTGAACTGATGTATGTATGGGTTGATCAACATTAGTCTATACATTCCACAAGTGAACTCAAAATGAGTTTTGAGGAGGTAGGTTGTTTCTCACTTCAAAGATGGATTTTCTGATTGTAGATGCTATGTGGTATCTTCCCTATAAGTAGGGGTGGCAATTTCTCACCCAACTTGTTAAAACCACCAAGTATCTAACCAACCTAACCCGCCCATTTACTTGGCGGGTTGGAAATGGGTTGATCACCCATTGGGTCAATTTAAATGGGTTGGGTCGGGTTGGGTTGTGGATAACCATTGGGTTAACCACTAAAGATACAAGTATTAATTCGTTAGCCATTTTTTTTTTAAATTTTGTTCATTTGAGTGAAATAATTTATAATTAATGTATTAATTTTCTATTAATTATTGACTAAAATTAGTTTTGCCTCGAATAAACACACCATCCAAATCGACATAAATCCAAATCAACCTGACCCGAGTCCAGATCAGTTCAATTTGGTCTAAATATGAACAGACCCGATCGCCTCGGTTCACTTCGTTTGGGTCGGGCAACCCAGTCCGAACCTAACCCGATTAAGAATAGGCAATATGTGTCGACCTGAATCTGAAGCGGAACCGGGCGGGCTGGTTCTAACCAGATGTGGACCATTCTGACCCGATTTACTCACACTGACCCGCTTCGGACCACTCGGTTCGGTCCCAAACCCGTGCACAACCTGATATGGGCTGGTCCAAGTCAATCCGACATTGACTGAACCAGTCTGGTCTAGTCCAACTGGACTGATCCGAATCAAAATGGGGATCAACCACTCTTGATGTGATTAGCTCGAAGACAATCCAATTAGATAGTTCAAGTTGCTTTGATCGGTTTGAACATAAGTGGTTTGATCAAACTCGAAACCCGAACATAGTCAAATGACTTTGCCACTTGTGTGAAAATGACATGCATGTAATGTGATTTGAACCTTCACCACTTGTGTAAACAACTAGTATTACTACCAAGCTATGACCAACTTCTTTGTCAAGTGGGAGTTAGTTTTTTGTTTTAAGTACATAAATATAAGATTAATGGGTTTGGGCGGGTTGGATTGGGTCAAGTCGGGTTTTGGTTGAACCCAACCCATTTAATTTCATATTATTGGGTCATTAATGGGTTGGCGGGTTAGATGGGTTGGGTTGAAGCTCAACCCAAACCAAACCCAACCCAACCCACCTAATTGTCACCGCTACCTATAAGTATGTATATGGAATTTTACTTTATGTGACATCTTTTCAAATCTTGATAGCATCCAGGTAGTATCTATGTTATATTCAATTATGGACAGGCATGGTGGTTTACTGGTTTCTACTGATTAGATGGTAGTTAAGATACATTATACATTGTATATATTGTGTTCTTTCCTCAAAATTTGTTTCTCTATACTTCTTGGAGGAGTTATAAATAAAAAATTAGCCGTTTTGTTCCACATTTTTGATATTACAATTAAACCAGCACTAAGATGATTAGTAATCATACCGTTTTTTGAAAGGGAGAGTTGTACCCACTTTTGTTGCTCTCCATACATTTCTATCCCAAAACCATGATTCCACTTTTTAATTTTTTTTATGTCCCTCTTTCCTCTCCTCCTTTGTTGTTCTTTCTCTCTTTCACAGCCTGTACCAATGTGTCTTACAATGTTTGGATGGAATTTGTGAACTTCATATTGAGAACTGATTATCTTTAATTCTTTAAAGGTTTGTTCTCATTATATTTTGTGAGATTGGATGTGGATTTTTTTTTTTCTTTTTGGAATTTTTACCAGGAAGATTTGGTCTTCTTGAGTTATGTTCTTTGAGTTGCTGGTGTCTATTTGGTTTGAGGCTTTGGTAGGGGATGTTAGGCTCACAACAACTACCAACAGGGTAAAACCACAAAACATTTTAAATGAAATAGCAATCAAGAGAATCCAATAGCAACAAAATAGAAAAATCCTAGCAAAGACAAGAAAACAAACACCACCAAGTAAACAAAGGATTTATGTTGTTCGGCCTTATCACCTATGTCCATGGAAGAGATGAAAACCATTCTTCACTATGAAAAAAAATGAGAAACAATACACGGTACCTTGTGGTTTGCAACCCAAACCAATCTTTATACACCCATTCTCCCTTTCTTCTTTGAACCTGAAGAACACTACAAGAGAAAAGAACCCACTCTTACACCAAAAGCACTATTTTTCTCCTCTCCCAAAATAAAAAGAGCATTCTTTTAACCTTATATACAAAAGAAGCCTTTTATATGTAAAACCCACCTTAACCTATAGGAGGAACCACACCCACTGTTAGATTACAACCTAACCCAATGGTTGAAAAATAAGATGCAAAGCCAACAGGGTATTGAAGGACTTGGTTTGTTATTCGATCCATTTTTGAGTTTTGTCTTTATTTGGGTTGTATTGATTTCTTGAGAAGGTTCTGATTTGTGTTTGCTTGCATTTCTTGTTTGCGTGTGATTACTTATCACTTGTTGTATCTCTACCTTTCTCTTTTAATGAATTTTTCTATTTACTATCAAAAACAATAACTAACAATTGATGTTACAATTTAATTCCATTGTTGTTCCATCACAGGATAACTGTCTAATATTTAACTATGATGCATCCATAGATTGTCAGGTTTTTTTTGTCATCAGAAGTTAGCATTTGTCAAATAGCGTATATTACAGCTTCATTTGCTTTTGAGTCCTAAATGCTAAAAGAATATGACTTTGCCATAACCTTCTTGTGCTTTATATGTTCTTTTTTTTTACTAATTCTTTGAAACTGAAAATTTATTTATTGTTAGTTTGCATTTACAGCCTATCAATGACCTGATGATGATTCTTAATTGCAGGTTTATGCCAGTATGTCACCTGTTGTCCATATTGTGAATGTTGGATCTTCTGCAATGGAGTCAGTTGCAAATGTTACTGTATGTCATACAAGTGATTTTAATTCTCATGTAGAAAATAGTCAAGCACCATTGTAAGTTACTAAAAGAAGTATAATTCCAGCTTAGAAAATATTGTCTTTGACATTAATCATTACTTCCATGAAATATGTATAATCTTTTATATGCATCTACCATGTCATGAAATCTGTGCCAAAAATAATACTACATATCTTTTTCTTGATTAGGAAGTTGGTTGATCTCTAAAGCATTAAAAAAGGAAACGTTTGTACTAGTACTATTATCTTTGGGGAAGGATAGACTATTTGTATGCTCCATGAACACCATATGATACATGCTTGACTTACCTACATGGTTGTTTTTCTTTCTCTAAATGTCATCTAGGGAATCTCCTTGGCCATGACACCAGATATTTAGATTATTCTGATTATCATGATATTGACTTGCTTTTGAATTGTTAGCAATGTTTTTTTTTTCTATGAGCATCCAAAAGATTGTGTTGCATAGGATGATCAACTTCATCCAAGCAGGTTGTCTTTTTTGGGCTTCAGATATGATAGGTAAGATCCTTTTGATCGTGGGTTTCGTGTCCCTTGGATCTGAGCCGTGTTCTTTGCCTGTGGTTTACCTACATGTACCCTTTCAGATAGCTATTGAGAGGAAGCACTATCATAAGTGAAGTTGCACCATTCTTGCAAGTATCTTGTGACATTTGGATTCTTACTCATGCAGGAGATTCATGATGGTTTGGATTTCTCTATTGATGATGATGGGGAATACTCTTTTGGGATATTCTCTGTAAAATTTTCAACTGATGGGCGAGAGCTTGTTGCTGGAAGTAATGATGATTCAATATATGTTTATGACCTTTATGCAAATAAGCTTACCCTTAGAATTTCAGCACATAAGGTATCATAGTTTTCTATTATCATAAGATGTCTTTTTTTGTTTTTAAAATATCTCTAAAACTTGCAGAGTAAATTTTTTACCCTTGGGTTTTGACCTGTAAGCTGAACCAATGTAGTCTAAGTAGCAGAGAAGAGGAGAAGAAGAAGAGATGCTGAAAATGTCGAACTGTACTAGCCAGTCGACCAGTTCTTTATTTATAGATGAATATAGTACAAGGTACAAGAAATTACTGGGATGCCCCTGATTAGTGATGGGACACCCAGATGACT